AGCTGGCTCGTGTCACGCTCCCGCCACGTACCGTCCGTGGTTGAGCCGCAGCCGTTCCCACGCTGTCTGGATGGGCAGCGCAGGCTCTGCTGTATGAGCCGCTCCCCTGCACACCCTGCCTCGTGTCCTCGAGTTAAGTTCCCAAAGCAGAGAGGAGGTGGTGATAGAGTTGGGGTTTCTGTACCTCTGGTTGTCACGGTCACTTTGTCCGCCTGTGTTTGAATTGACCCCATCTGAATGCTGTAGGTCAGACTGAGTGCAAACCCAGGTGTTCCTGAAGCGGGTGGGAGGGCTGGTTACACAGGTTATGGGTTCTGTTGGGCTGGAATGCTCACTTGGCTGCGTACTCTGGAGCCTGCAATGTGCTGTGATGTGTAGGACCGAGATGCAGCTTGATTGTGGTAATCAGGAGCTGCTTTTTTCCTGCTCTAGAACAAAAAGGATGTGGAATATAACTAAATCTCATTTTTAGTTGACAGTATTGGCAGTAGCCAAAACCTCCAGTGGTCATGGCTGAGATACGGTGTGTTACTCTGTGTGCTTTGGTTGAAAAGGTTTGGGTTTGAAGCTTTCCTCTTGTCCTCCCACCGCAGTCAATATTTTTGTATTTTTGTTGTCTAACAGATGATGGTGAAGATGATGACTCAGGTTCTCCTCCTGAAATGGTAACTGCTTTCTCTTTACACGTACCTCTCCATCTGTCTACTGAAGGGAGCAGGAGGAAAGGAAATAGAACTCTGTTCCGGGGAAACCCAGGCAGCTGGTTTGACTGGAGCTCAGGAAGGATTAATAGTAGCTGAGGAGGGTTAGTTATTCCTGCCCAGGACTCTGTAATTCACACGTAAAAGACAGGTTTGTTCATGTGCAAACAAATGAGGGGATCAGGGCCTCGCTGCTCTGGTTCTTGCTGCTCTGTCACTGGAAACACAGCGGCTTCTGGGGAGGTCACAGAGAGGAAGAAATCCTCAGCTTGTGATCAAGCACTCCTTTAGTGCTCTGTACCTGAGCTGTACTGGGTTTGTGCAATAAATCAGGCAAGAGAAGAGCTGCTTCAGGAGAAGCACAAATGAACTGGAAG